CTTTGCTCTTCACCGTGTGTAGACAGACTCATTAAACTATGACATCACTGCTGCTGCTGTGTCATCAGTGTGTTTGTGGGCTTAATGTCACACGCCACTCATAGACACGCTTCTACTGCAGGTCTATTTTTAGTCATGTTTCCATGACGATCACAGAGCACTACCAGTTCAAACGAAGCTCTGAAGCAAAGACTGATCATCTGCCATTAATCAGTGCTGGACCCTCTCTCACAAACGGAGGCACCGCGACCTTCAGGCTGTTTAACCTTGCTGGCAGTGGGCGGAGCAACGTTTGTAAAATCCCAGGTGACATCTTTCAGATTTCTTGTGTTCACATCAGTTTCAGAAAACTGGCCTCTGACCTTGAATTCATAGTCGCTTCAAACTCGTTAGACATTTTTGGTGGACATCGTCTCAATCTCGAGTTGTCGCGTTCACAATCTTGGGTGTGCAAAGCTCCCGCCCACCCAGCAGGGTGTCGACACACCCCACGGTCAGCTGCACCTGACGGGGAAACACTTGCCCCAGCTGTCCTTCTGTCGAACAGAAGCTGCACAAACAGATAAACCCCGAACACCGCTGCTTCTTCACCTTTCTGTCCATCTGAGCATCCTCACTTTGCTGCTCCTCCTCCTCCTCTTCATCCTCCTCTTCTTCCTCCTCTTCCTGTGAGGAGGAGCAGTCGTCCTCCAGGAGAGCGGGGACCTGAGGAGACACCAGACAGGTGAGATCACCTGTTTAGGCCCTTTCAGGATCTGATCAGCTCCCTGTGAGTGGATTGGTTACTTTCCTCTCTGTGGAGCCGTTTAACTGCCCAAATAATTGTTTTAAGATGGCAGCCACAGAGCAAGACCTTCCTCCTAAAATACCCCACGCCACGCCCATGCTACGCTAAGGGCCGCCTGACTAGTGACGTACCGTCTGAACTCCAGAGAGGTCCTTCTTCAGCCCTGTCAGCGTCTGATACAGGATCTGAGAGACACAAAACACCTTCATCATCATCAGCATCATCATCACCATCATCAGCATCATCAGCATCATCGATTTGGTGGTCTTACATTGTCATTCTGTCCACTGATGGCCGACTCTTCCTCCTGCGTCCTCACCAGGTCAACGTCACGCTCGTAATGACTCACCTCAGTCAGAGTACGGGGGATGTAGGCCTTTTTAAACACCTGAGGGGTCAGAGGTCAGAAGTGAGACTGGCTCAGAAAGGGCAAACTCATCAGTGTAAGCAGCTTTGAGGCATCACCTCCTCGTCCACGCCATCCTGACTCGATCGCTCCTCCGACGTCCTCTCAGCTGCAATCACCATCGCCTGAACAATCAGAGAGAAGTGCAATAAGTGTCAATAAAACAAGTTCTGCACGTTCTTCTAAAAACATGACCCATGCAGCTTTTAGCACCTTGTCCAGGTACTGGTCAATGTTCTGGCTGGTGATGGACGGGTCAGTGATGAAGTCAAAGAGCTCCCTGACTGTCATCACAGCCACGCCATGCTTCACAAAGAACTCTGGGAAAGAAGACAGTGCAGTCAGAGACATGAGCACGACATCTTCAGAAGAACCTGCTCTTCACTTTCCACCTGTTATTGTGAAAGAAGCCCTCTCACCATTGATGTTGCTGCAGTCCTTCCGCAGGAACTCCAGGGCGTGAGGATGATCGTGCTCCACCGACTGTGACACATCGATGATGTAAGCGTCTCCGTTGTGATACCTGCAGACAGCCGGAAATACATCAAACACACCAAAGGGTCCACAGGAAGTTTACTTTGAAAGAGTCAGCTTACAGCATGTTGAACTCGCTGAGGTCGGCGTGGACGAGTCGAGCCTCCTGAAACATCTTCCTCATGTTCTGTATGACCTGCAGGTAGAGCTCCCGAGCCTTCGACTCCGAAAGTGAGGCGTTCTTCAGCAGAGGGGCTGGACTGTCCCATGAAAGAAAGAGACAGCGATCAACAAAGGAGA